CCCAGGCCGTGGAGACCCGGTTCTGAGGAGAACAGCTTTTGGACGCCATTTAAATGAAAAAAAAGACTGAAAAAAGACTGAAAAAAAGCCCAATGGATAGACTTTGACAGAAAAAAGGGGCGGAGTCAGAGGGAGGAGCCAGCACAAAACACTGAAAAACGAGCTTAAACATGTTGTTTCCCCAAAATGATCAAGAATGAATCAAATAAAAGAGGGAAAAACAGAATTTTTTAAATCCAATTCATTGCAAACTAAAGCCGGGCGAACACTGTACGATTTTTTCCCTCTTTTTAACTCAATTTTTAACTCAATTTTGTTGGATCCGGACCAGTTCCAGCTCCCTGACAACCCTAAATGTGTTTCTTTTTTTTAATAAAAGACAGTAAAAAGCTAAAAAAATAGACTTTGTCAGAAAAAAGGGGCGGGGTCAGAGGGAGGAGCCCGCAGAAAACACAGAAAAACGAGCTTAAAGACGTTTCCCCAAAATAATAAAGGATAAATCAAATAAATGAGGGAAAAAGTCTAATTTTTTAATCCAATTCATTGCAAACTAAAGCCCGGCGAACATGGTACGATTTTTTCCCTCTTTTTAACTCGATTTTTAACCCCGTTTGTTGGATATGGACCAATTTTAGTTCCCTGACAACCCTAAATGTGTTTCTTTTTTAATAAAAGACAGTAAAAAGCTAAAAAAATAGACTTTGACTGTAAAAAGGGGCGGAGTCAGAGGGAGTAGCCAGCACAAAACACAGAAAAACGAGCTTAAAGACGTTGTTTCCCCAAAATGATCAAGAATGAATCAAATAAAAGAGGAAAAACCCCAAATTTTTTTCATCCAATTTGATGCAAACTAAAGCCGGGCTACACTGTACGACTTTTCCCTCCTTTTTAACTCCATTTTTAACTCCATTTCTTGGATCCGGACTAGTTCCAGCTCCCTGACAACCCTAAATGGATTTCTTTTTTTTTAAAAAGACAGATAAAAGCTAAAAAAATAGGGGCGGAGTCAGAGGGAGGATCCAGCACAAAACACAGAAAAACTAGCTTAAACACGCAGTTTCCCCAAAATGATCAAGTTTCTTTGGTTTGGATCTTCTTTGGGATCTAAAATGTTGTCTTTTTTTTGGTGGAATTAGTCCAGCTGGACCTCTTTGAGGTCTCAGTATCAATGAACTGTGTCTTAATTTCCAGTTTCAGTAATTTATGGGAGTTTTTTTAGTTTTTTTACCATTTTCTTTCTTATATTTGGATTAGGGTTTCAGCTCCCTGTGAAGAGCAGATGGAAACCGAACCGGTCTGAGTTTCCCGTCACCCTGACAACCCTAAATGGGTTTATGTTTTAAAAAAAGATTGAAAAAAGCTCAACGGATTGACTTTGACAGAAAAAAAAGGGGCGGAGTCAGACCACACCAGCTCAAACTGAGAGCTTCCCCAAAATGATCAAGAATGAATCAAAT